CGAGGACCAATACCGCACACCCTCGGTCCCTACGCAGGCTGATCCAAGTGGTCACCCACCCGCACACTGACCGCAGCCAGTGATGCTTGACTTCGGTGATCTGCTGGGAACTGTGTCTTAACGATCAGTCCACTGCGGGACTTTAATATGATGCAAGCTCTCATCAATTAAAACGCATTTTTGGAAGATTTTCAAATGTTTAATATCAATTTCTAATGTAGTTAATATCAATTTCTAATGTAAGTAATCAATTTAAATGTAGTTAAATTAAAAAGAAGAATGATTATTTTAACAAATCGATGTTTTTCCCCTCCAATGAATTTCTAAACCACAATCGCCACGTTACTCTCTCCAAACTTCCACTCAACAACCATCACATACCTCTCTTCACACCACCACTAACAAGTGGACTTTCACTCACAACACACTTAACTTGTACGCTCTCCGTACACATGCCTGTTCTTTCACGAACACCAGAATCGAACTCACAACCTTGAGCTCACCAACAACACGCCTTAACCAACTGCGTTACTGAAACGCCAACAGTATTTAACGTGTAGTGTATCTCTTCTGTTTTAAAATAGATTTTTAAAAAATTGCACACTAATTTCAAGTTATATTTAATTTACATATAATAAAAGGCTTTGAAAAACATACTTTCCAAGGAACATTGTTCAAACTTAAATCTTGAATATCATTTTGATAACACCAAAATTAAATTTTTTTTAATTTGATGCAAGCTCTCATCAATTAAAACTCCTTCTTGGAAGATTTTCAAAGATTTAATACCAATATCTAGAATTACTTTTTTTAAAAAATACTTCAAACTACAACAAAATTATCATTTTTTTAATACGATGCAAGCTCCCAGCTAAGATAAACTGCAGTTTTTCTACAGAACTGAAGTAATTTTGTAGTTTTTCTAGAGTTAATTGTAGATTTTCTGTAGTGTAATCCTAACTGTAAAAACACTGCAGTTATTTTGCAGCTAATGTGAAGTGATTCATCAGTAATTTATTTCAAAAAAACTTTTAGCTATCGTCTACAAAATTACTATAGGTTTAAAATCTTCAGAATTTTTCAAAGTTCAAACTCCTTCAAACTATGTTTAAGTGCAAACAAATTCAGAATTTTTCAAATTCCAAACAGTTTGAAAATATTTTTAAGTCTATCAACTTCAGTATTTTTCAAAGTTCAATCGACATGAAAATATTTCTAAGAGCGAAAAACTTTAAAACAAAGTACAAGTACAACTAAGTACACGAAACTTCAGAATATTTCAAAGTTCTAACAACGTGAAAATACTTCTAAGTAGAAAAACTTCAGTATTTTTCTATGTTCAACCAGTTTACAAATATTGCTAAGTCTAATATACCTCAAAATATTTTTATATTCAAACAGCTTAAAAATATTGCATAGTCAAACAAAATTGAAATACAATAAGCATACCGTTTCTATTATCATTCGTTTGCTTAATTGTTTCTTGCTCTTTGGGTGAAACTCTTCATATTAGTGTTGCTTTATTTACTTTTTCAATTCCTACTATTAGTTCACGCTCTCCCTAAACCTTGTTCAAATTTTCAATCGTTAATAAAATACTTTTAATTTATTCATTCAAGTTCAAATACAATAAACTTGTAGTGGATGACACTTGTTGTTTATACAGTTTTTTCAAATATTAATTCTTTCAGGGATGAGCAAAAAACGAAATGGAATTTTTTGATGGGTTAAGCGTTGGTCACTGTTTTAAATTTTACTATAAGTGATTCAGTTTTTAACATATTTTAAAGATAACATCAGTCATAATTTCTAACTATGTGAACAAAAAACTACTTTATTGCGCACATTTAAATATTTACTTATTTTATATTCGTTGTGTGAGATAAATTCTATGAAGAACATTACGTGGTAGCCCGTGTGGTCCATGTCACCAAATTTGTACTTTTATTGTTGTCTGATACCCCTCTCCCTAATTTTTTTTATCTAAATTGTTTCTTTTTTTTAAGTCTAATTTTGTTTTACTGATCACTGATCCATGGACCTCTAATGATTTCGGACAGAAACTACGTGGTTTCTCGAATTTATTATTATGAAGTTTATTGTCTTGTATATTTTATTTCCAGTAACTTCGGGCGAAACTAAGAAATAAAATGAAAAGCGATATACCCAGATAAGATCTTTACATGTCCAGTAAATGATGGTTTCACCTGTTGTGAAAATTGTTTTCTTGTAATTGTAAAAGTTTCGTTAACGCTATGAGCTTTCGTTCATGCGTTTGTCTAAGATAAATATAAAGATTATTTTTCAATTACGACCTGCTCCGTTAAACTTGAAAGTACGTCACTTAATATTTATGGAAAATTATTTTTAAAATTGCTTATATGGTACTTCTTGCACGTTTAACCATGAAAATATTCCTTAAAGTAAGTTTATTTTACTTTTTTACATATTGTTAAACTGATATCAGATTTAATGGAGGCAACTCATCAAATTTTGTGAAGAAAAAAGATTTTTATGTCTTGTACTATTTTGTATTCAGCTGCAGTGGTAATTTTAACTAATTTCGTACGGAAGTTAGATTTATATTGTTATAAATTACTCAGGGAAACAATTGCTTTCGTTTTCCGTTACAAGAGATTTTTTAACAGTTGTTAGATAGTTTCGTATTCCTGATTACTAATCTGCAATAGGTTTTTCTCACAAAGCTTTTTTAACTGTATTTTTTGTCTATTTTTTTCGAATTGTGCAAACTTCAAAACGCTAAATATGACATGTGGATGCATAGATGTTGCGACAAAGTTCTAGAGAAGTAAGGGTGCACCATCAGCATTAAAATGTCATATGAACCCATGTCCGGAAGTATCATCATACGCCGCTAAGGGCGTTTTCCCATAATGAACTAATTTTCCATGTCATTCTGAAGAGATCCGAATAGAAAAGTGCCCTTAGCCTACATTTGAACAAAAAAAAGTGAAAAATGTCATTTAAAAAAATTTGCGTCTTTAGGCGGAGGACTAATTTTATACTTGAAATCTTCCACACCTGAATTCGACAAAATTAAGCTCTTGTATAAATACAACAAACAATTCCCCCCCCTCCTCTGTGTTATTTATTTTCATTTTTTCATCATGTTTTGGTATTTTATTATTTTTATGAAAGTTCAGCAAAAGCTCTACATGATGATTTGAAAAATTGTTAAGATTTGTATTGTTGGATTATTAATAGCTTTTTTAATTTGGTACGAGATTATAAAAACCATAAGTTTTCCAGCGAAATTAATATACTGTTGAATTTAAACAATAAATAATTGCTCTAGTGGATTGTCTAATTTATATTAAAAATGTTCCTTTTGCAGAATAAGATTTTAAGACATGCAGTTGACATTTGAGACGGATAATTGCCTCAATTTTCGAAAAACATTTTATCAATATTAATTTTTTTGTAAAACTTTGCAATATAAATGTATTTAAACGATGTCCAATAGTGATGTACTAATTCAGGCCCTCCAAAATGAGATGGTAGACGAATTTTGTTTAATTTCTAGTGGTAGGGCAGCATGCTAGTCTTCATATTTCCGATTGAGGTCTCGATTTTATATTTGGCCACAGAATTTAGTTAGACTTCAAAATACATTATGCACAGTGATCCAAAAGAAAAAAAACGGACCATCCAGAATAACTTTTGATCCTAATGATCCGATCTTTTAGAATAGGACTGAATCTGAATGGTTCAAGGGGGTGACCTCAAATATGCTAAACAATTCGTGCAGACGATATTTTAAAATACGAAATCCGACACAAAAACTTATTTTATTTGAATAAATATGCCTTTTTTCGAAGGATTAAGATTTCTGATCCCCAAAATATAGGAGGTAGCCGCAATTTGGGAAATATGGTCCACATAGTTTGTTCAAATCTTTGACCCCCTAATGTTAATTTTATTTTGTGCACGTTTTGTCATATCTCGAGAACTTTTCAAAGAAAATTGCAAAATCTTCACGCATAATTATAAAATTCGTACGCCCAAGGAAAATACCATGCAAAAAATAAATTTAACTAAATATTTGTCAATATTTTAATAGTCCAAACAATTTTGAATTTCAAGGCATAGTACTTTTTTTATCATTTCAAAGTACCTAAAATTACATCGTGAAATACAAAATGTGAGCGAAATCGGTTGAATTGTTCCTAAGAAATGGAATTTTAGAAAAGTCGCGCATTCAAAATTCGATTTCTCAGAAACCATTCAATCGATTTCAGCTTACTCATTATATTCATTTTTACCGTATTAACATTCTATATCGATGTATCATTCTTTCTAAATATTACATCTTTCATTTTGAATTTTATTTAAAATTCAATGTTTAACACTATAAAAGTAGATCCTGAAATTATTATATATTTGACTAGTCTCCCGTGGACACGTACCTTTCGGTTCGGATCTGTCTTAGTAAAAACGTGTTCTGTCTATTATTGCATCGCTTACCATAATGCTAGTGTGGGGAAAGACGATACCAACTATATAAATATCTAATGATCTTTCCCCATCATTGGTGACTCGGGCGTGATATGATCACGACTACTTCGATGGATCGTCCACATTGAACAGTTGACTTGCTATTTGTGATTGCAGCATCGTCCTTCTCGCACTGTTGCTTCTCTGTCTCATTTACACATATAAGGTTTCTGCACACACTCGACTGCTAATAGCAATACAGGAGAGATCACACACACAACCATGATCTTAATACAGCTCTCATGACTAAAGCTCTAAACCCGGTGACCTTAATCCAGCTCTCTCGGTCCTTCACAAATTCAGCAACTAGTGATATCCATTCATCGAATTCTATCCCTGATAAAATTCTAGTGGGAGAGTATTGTGGCGTAATTACTACTACAATTATTAAACATCAATTCAGTAGTATATAAAGGCATGCTAACCTGATTCAATCTCGAGATACCTTTTAATAGATGAAGGCATACCATAAATAAGATGATAATCAAACAGCTAACTGTGGAAAAAAACCGTTTATTGACTGTTTTCATCTAAAACGGTTAAACAACCGGAATCTTATCGTATAAACTAAGCCACCTTATAAAGCTCTTTAGTTCCTTGCTACTGCGTGTGTATTATAGCCGAGAGGGCCTGTCTGTCAGTCTCATGGCCAATAGCAAGGGAGTTTAAGTCCCAGCGTTGACACCACAGTATTTTCTCCATTCCCTTCAACGCATTAAGAAATTCCAGTGTTCTGCAATGTCCATTACCTAACGAAAAACCTAGCTCCTATGTCGAATTAAAATTTCTTTTTTTATGGTTTTGAAACCATGCTGGTAAAAAAAAAAACATATAATTTTGTATTCATGGTTTTATAAGCATCCTAGTTGTAAATGGTATCTAAACTGTAACGATAAAAAATGTTCTTTATTGTAAACTTAACGGTTAATTGGATGGACAGACTGCTATCGGTTATTTTACCATAATTTTGTAATGACAATTCTTACAGTGTATAGTGCCTTACTGATTTATGATTGATTTATTTTACAAGTCCATAACACGACAATTAATCAACCAATATAACTCTGATGAAATATTATTGATTAAAAGTGCGATTCAAATAAACAAAATCAGTTTATTTGTCAGAATGATGATCCCTATGAAGCCACAGCTCGGTAATGTGCTTATTGAATCATTACAATTTTTAGGGATATTTGCCAATATTTTCCCATGTAAAAACAAACTTTTCTTGCCAACGGAAATAAACGATTTATATACGTTCATCAATTTCGTAATATTTTATTATTTGAAAACACTTTGAGTGAAGTCATTTAATTAAAAGAACTTTAAGTGAACATTTTAGACTTTAAATTTTGAAGAAAAAAAAGGCGAAGTTGTTCTTATTTCCATTGATTTAAATAAAATTGGAATATACCGATTTAATTGAGCATGAGTTTACTAGTATAGAAGTTATGGCAGTATTCAATCCTTAACTATTGAATATTTTCTTAAAGAGCGATTTACTAATATAAAATTTTTGCAACAGCTTTCAAATTTTAAAAAATGGTAGTTATCGTTTCATCTTTAATAATAAAAAGAAGAGTCTCTCTCTCTGCATGATTTCGTAACATTCTTTAGCACAGAAAGTATAATTTTTTTAACCCCTCACATAAAACAGGTATTCAGCTTGCCAAATATAAAAAAAATAATTAAACGAATGAGAAAAAGTTTATGAATTGTGATTATTTATTTTATTAAACTATAACAATAAGAATGGCTCTAGAATTTGAAAATCTGAAAATGTTTTTAGATATTTAATTACATTAAAATTAATATTTAAACTAATATTATAATTTTACATTTAGATTCTTTTTGAAGTTTGGTAAAAATTTTAACAATTAATTTAGAAGAAAATTTAAGCAAGCTTAAATAATAACTAAATATATGCATTTTCCCCCTCATATTTTCTTGTAGATTTTGACTGGTGGAGTTCTTCTAACAGCTGTACTTTATATGCTTTATAATCAAACAGTACTAACAAGGACAATAGAAGTACTTAAACATATGTTATCCTTAGTTAATGATTCGAACTTGATGGAGACTACAATTCCAAACTCAGAAGTGACATCACCAGAAGATATTCAAAAAATTCTTTCTGAAAGAATATCGAAACTTTTAGATGAAGCGATGTTAGAATTATAAAGATCCTATAATTTACTGTTTTATCAAATCAATTAAAGTTATGTATGAAAGTATAACGCTTGCTAATTAATAAAGAAATTCATACTATTTTTTATTACTGTAATTAAGTTTGTATGCAATAAAATTGCTTATTCTTATATTTTATTTTATGCACTTGTTCGTATCTTTATTGTTTCTACATCATTTAGAATAATTTCCTACTGGGTTTTTGTATATACTTCGTTCACTAGGAATTGGCACTTGGGTCCACCTCCTCAGATGAAGAGTGCATTTCAGAGCTCGAGTAAGAGGAGAAACATCTCCGCGCTTGAAATTGAGACAACCATTAATGCGTGCCAAACGCAAACAGTGACTTCTTTTTCAGTCACTTACTTCGTTTTATCTTCTGCTACAATATCTTTCGTCACTCTAGCTTATTAAACATGTTGAAGCAAAAAGTCTCAAAAAGGACAAACTATTCACTCAAAAGAGAGAAATATAAACTTTATTAAATATTTAATATTGAAAAAATGCACATAAATATTGCGAAATAAATATTTTTGTCCTACGATTGCCAAATAGCAAGCTCAGGATTGTTCACATCCTTCTCCCAAAAATAGAGACATAGTATATCGTCGGATACCACGTGTTGAAGGCGGAGCCAAGTACAAACTACAAAAATAATATTTTGAGCAATTACAATAACTATATGATCCAGTCAGAAAACAAAATTAAGATACTTGAAATATTTCAACTTTAAATGATCTGGTATTCAGAAGCAAATATTTTTTAATGAATATTTATGACTGTAAGGTCAAGTTAGGCCTATCTTTGGTGCTAATCCTGAAAATGGCGCAAAACGCAAATACGAAGAAAAAAACCACGCGTTTGTGAAAATAAAAAGTGCTTGACCTAATTTTTGAAATTTAAAAAATCATTTCAGTACTACATTATCTATTCTTGCAAAAATTTTATAAGTAGGGAATTATTGTTTGATTTTAATAATTTTCATCTAAGTAGAAAAATCTTGTCAAATTGGCGATTTTTAAAAGATTTTTTGAATATTTAACCTATTTGTCTGTTTGTGTATACCCAAATAAACCTTTACTGTAAAATGGTATATGTAGTTTAAAGTTATAGAGCTGTCTCAAATTAATGCATTTAAATTATGTTTTTTTATTCTCCTTGAAAGGATTCGGNTGAATGTTTAAATATAATTTATTGCTTAATGAAAAGTTGTGTGTGTGTGTGTGTGTGTGTGTGTGTGTGTGTGTCTTTGAACAGCAAACCCAATTTTTGGTTTACGACTACTTAAATTCAACTCCGTAGCCTTATATATAATTTTGAACCAATCCAGAAGACAAGGAAACTACAGGATCAGTACCCCCAGAGGTGTTAATTTGTTATGGGAACATGGAGGACTTTGCGACTCGACAGATTTAAAGCGCATCAGTCACCATTTACTACACGGGGTGTCTTTCGACGGCGGGGATCGAACCCACGTACTCTTGGACATGGGCCCAGTGCCCTACCAATCAGGCAATCCCGGCCTCTCAATGATTGATATAGGAATTATTTTGTCTTGTGGGTCAAATTTAAAATTACGAGGCTACTACATTGAATAGGATAGTCGTAAACCTAAAAGTGGTTCGGCTGTTAAACACCGGTTATAAAGTAAAATCAAATAAGAACTTATAAAATACAGGCTAAAAATTTCTTACAAATAATTTGATTACGTTTTTAATATAAACTCATTTTTAATGTTAATGAACATTTGAGGCAATACATAAGCGTACAACTATAAAAATAATGTTGCATTTTCAGCATATAAATAATATGCTTTTCTGCATCACAATTCTTTGATCAATGGAATAATGTTGCATAAAATCTGGGAGTATGAAATAAAGCGATGGTGGCTCTCGTAAGCATTGATCAACGAAAGTAATGGTGCATTATCTTTCTTCATAACCATAATATATTGCATGCATCGTTGTGTAATCTATGCAGCAGCTCCTGGATTAAGGGAACGATGCTGCAGGAGTTTTGGGCGTCCAACAAAAGATAACGGAGGCCCGGAAAGCGTGAAGACATTTAACACTAATGTTAAGGCTATCACAACCTGAAGAAAAGAGAGATAGATATTGAAATCTACATATATAAACTTTAAATATAACATAATTATATATAAAGTTTATTTACACATATAAACTTTAAATGTAACGCAAACTGTTATAAATTTTCTGTTAAAACTCTTATATATAAAGTAATATTGTAAGACATCTGAATTTTAATACCATAATATATATTTGAGAAATATCGATATTTAAAGATTTATGGCGATATTTTTTCAATTAATTAATTTCAATTATAGGTAGACGTGAGACATAACGGAATTGCAAAATGCTATTTTTTTAAATTTTTAATATTTTTTATATGAGGAGGTGTTGCTCTTTTGAGCAAAAAATTAGTAAAACTAAAACAAGACGTTACTACTTAACCACAGACGTTTGTCTGAATTTTTTAAACAATAGTTTTCGTTGAGTAATGTATTACTCCTATTACAATACAAGAGTAATGTATTACACTTACCATGTTACCTCTGATGATTTTGTTATCAAGACAAAGTGCATATATTTGTTCAAGCTAGTTAGTACATGCTGAGAGTGCGCTGAATTATCCTTAGTTTACATTCTTTTACGCATATTTCTCGATTGATCTCAAATTTCTGATCTGAATCGTGTCTCCAAGAATAAATGATTCAATATTATTTAAATTAGTTGAGAAGTAGCTGTAAATTTTATCTAAACTTTAGAGTGATTGCTAAGAGAAAAAAATTTCCACTTAGTTTTAATATGAATATCTACCACTTTCCAAACATTGGTAATACCTTAACTGTATTGTCTTGAAAACTCGGTCTTAACAAGTTAGATCTCATAAAACTCATCTTTTGACACTTAATCGATATTTGATTATCATCAGATATTTGATTGATAATTTGCATTTTCTATTGTATTTGGATAATAATTTCTATTATAATTAAGTTATTTTTGATTTCTATAAGAATCATGAAATGTTGTTGAGAAGTTTATTATCTGTTAAATCATTTTGGTTTTCTTCCATATATTACATTACCCCATTCCCTTTGAAGCGTTATTTTTCAATTAAGATCTTCTTTTCGACACTATTCATTCTAAATTCGCCACTATTTATTTTAAAATACCACAAAATAACTTTGTGGTATTTCATTGCTATTAGCATATTCTTTAACATTAGCTTTTCTGTTTTTTTGAAGCATTATTTTTGCATACATACATACATACATATATATATGGGTCATTCTCACAAAAACAGTCATTTTCATGTCCCCAGTATATTTTATGTTTGTTTTACAACTTACGAAAAAAATTTTTTCAGGGAAAGTGTCCTTCAGAATGCAAGCTAACAAAAGAATAAAAATAAAATTATCAATTTTTATTTTTTATTAATTTTAGGTAATAAAAATATACCAATATGTCATTCCCTCACTTGTCCCCACTGCTGATTTAAAAAAAGAAAAAAATTGTNATATATATATATATATACATTCATATATAATATTGCATACATACATATATAATAATTTTTAAAAGCATAATATTTTTCTCGAAAAATTGCAAAAATACGGAGGAATTTTTGAAATAAGATTTGTATTTTCCTTTTATTTTATAGAACAACACTTACATTTTCGATTATATATCAAAACAAGCGGTAAGAGCAGTTTAAAATGAGTAAACTAAAAGAACACGCCTGTGCTATCACGTGCATGTGATAGCAACACAAGTACTGCCACAAGCAAATTTGTTCTTTTAAGCGAACATACATATCTAATAACCTCCTCCTCCTCCTATTATAAACATGCATCTTTAATTGTGATAATATAGTTCTCTATATTCACCCTAAATTCATAAACATCATACCAATTTATTTATAATTATATCCACTGAGAAATAAACATTTAGTTCAATCGATTTAAAGTTCATGAATTTAGAGTTAATAGAGAGAGAGAATGGGGAATAGAGAGGAGGAGGGATAGATGATCACAATTAAAAATCGCAATTAAAATTATTGCTTTTGAAGAGGAGGGAGAAAAGCATGAGGGGGGGGGGTAATTGAATATGTAGAAGTATATTTTATAACCGTCGTTGAACAGCCGATCCAATTCTATCGGGTTAGGACTACTAATGTTCAACTCCGTAGCCTTGTAATTTTGAACCCAATACAGAAGACAAGGAAACTCCTGGATCGAGTATTGGGAGAAATTTGCCTTCGCGGAGGACTTTCTGATGGAGCTAATCCGCATTTGCGTTACATGGAGAGGAAGACCACGACAACCTCCCATGGTTTGCCTGAAGGCAAGGGGACTCTAACCCATGATCCGTCTACCACCGAGGATATTTCACGTCAACACTGTGGTCGGTGCAAGCCGGGTGCGGAATTCGTATAGACTGGGATTCGAACCCGGTTCGCGCATTGGAAGGCGAACACTCTATTCCCTGAGCCATCGCGGCTCACGTAGAAGTACATATATTTTTTGAAAAATAATAAACTGCTATATATATTTTTAAAAAATGTTTTAGACTAGAAGGCTTTGCCTCTGCTCCCACAGCTCGCCAACACTTGCAATATCTTCTCTTTCATCTTATTCTATTTCGTCTGAAACGTAATATTTACCACAACAGCTTGGCTTCAAAATATACAATGAAAAAACGCTTTGGCACTTTACCTGAATATACAAATTAATTTCCATATTACCCAGATAATCTACGGAATAACTGATTTCTACACTTTAGCAGCAACTTAATTAAAGTTACCAATTTGACAATTGTAATGACACTTACTACATATACCTCAATCTATGCGGACACTTTTTTTAATCTATAAATGACAAGCAGAAAAAGTTTCACTTGTGCTTATTTATTCATTTGTAATCGAACATATCAGTTTTAATGCTACTTAAGTTCATAAATTATTTTAGTTTTTACGTCATTTTAGCTGTAACAGATAGAAGTATAACGTTTTTCTCACGAAACTTAAGTTTTTTGTAACATTATTTTCTGAATGAAAAGTACATAGTTAAAGTGGATGCAAAGTACAACATAATCTCTTCATAAACTCTTGTCATAATAAGTAAACTACGTCATTTAATTATTGCTTAATTTGTACGTTGCTAAGGTAAATAGTGTTGGCAGGAAGAGAATTCATATACTTCGAAATTGTATATTTTGATCAAATATTTTTCAACCCATAATGTGAAATTTAACAACATTATTTTCATCCGGAGAAAATTACTTTATGCCTCCTGTATAAGAAAAAGAGACAAATGGAAAGTTTAAAGTTTGTTCTCTTAAACAATCTTTAAAAATATCAAGAATTTCTTAGATTTCAAAACATGTACTCACGTAGTTCCATTTCCATATTTTTCTACTAATGTATAACATTATAAATACATTTAACGCTTAGTTGACTTTAACTACTAAGGTACCACTAAATCCTTTAAACGTACTCGTTTTAAAGCAAAAACCTTAATTCTTCTATAAATGTTGTATTGACAGACTTCGAAATCGGAAGAAAAAAATATCATAAATTTTTATTAAGGAAAATTAAAAACCTTTACATTCAACTTGATTTTGTTGCCCAGCTAAATACACAATATGTGCATACTATTGATAACATCTCAATAGGAATTTTTACTCATAAAATAAATAATCAATAAGCAGTAATTCAGAAATAGAAACATTGAGAAATATACTCCCGCGGAATTGAAAAACCAACGTAAGCGACAAAAATTTTAAATTGAGATTTTTGTATATTTGGGAACTTTATATGGCCATTTATATATTTCTTTAAAAAATTAAAATATTAATAAAAATATTAATTGAAAATAGAGTTTATTTATGTTTCGTATGAAAGCAAAAAAAAAAGTTAAAAAAAGTTGTAATCGCCTTTTTACGATCACTAGTTACTTATTGGTCAAATGCTTTTTCTTTCTGGATTGATTCCGTTAAACGCCACACCATTTCAAATCATGGGTTGTAAAAACTGTCTCCATGGATGTTTGTCGTCGGATTAGACTGCCTATGTACGTGTTTCAAGACGTCACAAAATACTTTTCCATCTTCAGCATTCATATTTATAATCGCGATCGCAACGCTCTAGTATACCCTCTAGCGGGAGCCTGAAAATATCAATCATTAATTTATTAACTTGTCACTGAGTTCCATCAAAATCATTGACAGAATCAGACGCCATTTTTTAGCAGCAAATAGGAAGTAAAATTTCCCTAAGGAAAAGGCTGAAGAACTTGAAAAAACTCTCCAGAATATTGGTAAATCTTTCCGAAATAGAACACGCCAAACATTTGAAGAAAAATTCCTCAATAATTTTTAACTTCTATTATCAACGAACTTGCAACTGATACGAGGGTTGTTATTTATATTTCTGGCCTTGGCAACAGTAAGTGTTGCTAGGCGACCGCAGACGATTTTAATCGAAAGTTTGATATTTTTAAACATAAATTCAGCAGACGATTTACCATTATAGCTTCATTTGTGTTGTTGACAGTAAATTGAAAAGTTCTTCTCTTTCAAAAAATGGAATTGAATCGTGAACATTTTCGTGCCA